ACGGAATAAATAATATTCGATTTACTTGTTCCTTCGTTTTTTCTAGGTCAGAAAGCCCTTCTGTTTATAGCTTCTGAACATGTTGTATAATAATTTCCGAAGCCGATACATTGATTTTTTCAAATTTTGTTTTCGGAACTTAACCGCATTGTTAAGCTCTCATGTCTAAACTTGCACATGTGACCCATGGTCGAGAACGTGTTAACTTGCGAATAGAGGTTCATACAAGGGAAGATAACGCAGCAATTATTTCAATAGTTCTAAATGTTTGCATTAGAAATCGCAGGCTATGTAAATACTTTTATTCAGCACTGTAGTTTAATTACGTTGACACGTTACACGGAGATCCGAATGGCAACGGTATTCGAACGGTATCGTTTGCTTTTGTTTCACAGCACACTGCCTTCTGAGCAGAGTGAAATTCCTTTGACTATGTTGTAGATACCACGCGGTTAGCGCTGCACAGTTGGTAAAGAGAAACCGTGCATCATTAATCAACGTCTTACGCTGAAAATTTTACGTTACGTTGATGCACCTGCGTGCACCCGTACACGTGTGTCTACATGACATATCATTTTAATTTACGGCGGCCGCTGTTCGAGAAATTAATAGATCAGAATTTGAAAAATCAAACGCCACGTGAAATAATACGTTTCTTCCTAAATACTCATTGAGTGGTTCTCAAGTTCGTTAGCGCAACATTGTTAGATAGTGTGCTCTGTTATTAATGGTAGCATCGAAAGTAAAAAAGATAATTCGAAAGTATAGAATACATTCGTTTTATTTGAAACTTTCTTTTCGAGAACATTGAAATTAAACATTTGTAGAGTTGCTCGGGTATATAAATGATTCGTATTAATACGTATGACGTAATCGTTGGGAAGTTATTATATACGATAAAAGAATTTTAATGTATAAAAGAAAATTCTTTTCATATGGAAGTACGTTCCCGAGGAAATCCAGTTTGAAATTATATTGAGGACTTACTGAACTTCTGACAGAATGTTTTCAAATTCGATTTTATTTGAAAATGAATTCTTGTATAGAAAGGTATTATTCTAGATTGTTAACTTATTTTCGTATGTAGGATGATATATAGGTAACGAAAAAAATTTGTTTAAACTTTATTATGAGTTTACTGGTTTAAAGAGATACATTTAAGAGCTCGTAAATATTATAAAATGATTTATTTAGGCTGAAGGGCTAGAGAATGGAAAACAGATATTCTTGTAAATTACAAGGTTTCGTATTCGAAGTTGTGTAATTCTGTACGAATTGTATGACATAGTCGCATTGTTAATATAATATTTCGCACAGATTATATTAATACGATTCTGGTTACAGCAATCGCTGGCCCAGACATTTTTTTATGTTTACGATACAATAAATAAACCATTAAATTTATTTATCGTATTATACGTATAAAACACACTCTCGATGAAACTGAATAGACGTTACGCTAGTAGAGATGAGAACAGTTTGATAGCGGATATGACTCGTATACGCATGCCGTAACTAGCATATAAAATATGGCACAAGAAACTCTTAATATATATCTATGTTCCAATGAAAGGTAATGTGAGCGTTTCCGTATTCTCAGTGTTTGATATCAGCATCCATGAGATGGCAGGATTCAGCACTATTAATTGCTGATTCACCTGGACCATAAAGTAATGATTTATGTATTAATGAGATTACGTTTTATTAGTCCTAGCAGACAAAGCTGGTTTCATGTTTCCCGTTTAAAAAAAATCGACCGACCAATTGCGGGACAATATTATATCAACTAGTCACATAAATCATTAACGGTAACATAATGACGTGTGTTATGCTCAGTTTGCTTTGTAATCCTTATTAATGATTCTTTATATTGCGGATTAAGTTTATTTTCTGTAAAATACTTCAATCTTTTGTAAGTCACTGAAAACGGTCCGAGATTATTCAAACATTCCTGATACAATCGAGTTTATCATCATTTAAGAACCTTTAGGCACTTGCAGGTTTATAAAGTGTAATGTCAGAGATCACGAACTAATAAGAGCTTATACGTTTAGAATGAATAAAAAAAGAGTTATGAACCGTTTTGAAACGTATCTGGTTCTACACAGTGTAATGAATTCTTTGATAGACTGACTACCGGATATTTTCATATGTAAACTGCGAAATTAAATATAAAACAATAGTATTACTGTATATAATATATGTACTCGTATATTCAATTGTATACTTATTTTAACAAATTCTCTGAGTTGTTGCATAATAACTTTTGCCAAGGAAAATATGAATCCATAATAATAAATTTATTTTAATTAAATGTTAGAGGGTAAAAAAGAAAAATATAAAGATTATGAATTTATATTTTATTTAGCGTGAAGCTTATGTTATAAGCGTCGAGAAATCATACACAATGTCTGCTTTCTTGTTTCTTTCATGTAAACTCTCAAAGAAAAAGATAGCACACGTGTGCTATTTCTCTTCACCTTTCCTGTACCATAATTATACCGCCAGAAATTAAAGGTAACACATGTGTGCTATTTTTCTTTAGGAGTGTATGTACATGCGATTATGTTTTTACACAATAAATACGTTCACGGTAATACTGTGTTTATAGAAAAATAGAGGTTAATTACAAACCTAAGGAATCACTAACAAAATACAATAAACTATATAAAAATTCATGTTAAAATTTAGATAAGTGCGTAAAATCATGCCAAATCGTGAAAAGAAGAAAATTAATTTTCTTCCAATTCGTGTAAAATGAGACTAATAATTCCTAGTAAATCAAAATTTTGTAAAAATAATTCGTGTTAAATCAGAATTACGTAATAATGATTCGTGTTAAATCAGAATCATGTTAAAATAATTCGTGTTAAATCAGACCTGGGTTTGGTTTATTATCCTAGGCGATTTTCAGTTAACATTAGTATGAATAATACATGTCATTTAAAATCCAAAACACGTTTAGAATGCATAATTCCATAGGTGCACGAAATTTCGAGTTTAGTTTCATGGGTGACCCAAAATATCTGCAGTGTCCATTGTCCCAGAAAACAATGCCGTCGTGTATCATTGTTCCATCTATAAAATGTACGCGCCTCTTTTCTTCGTCGACACGCCCTTCCCTCCTTTGTAATGAAGATCTGAGCGTATGGTTTATGGATATGATTTCGTGTGTAATATTAATTTAGATGAAGGTGTACATTCCGTTCAGTCGTGACGGAGGTGTCTCACTATGAACAATTGTCTTCGAAGAAACGTACTGTAAATATAGGTAATCTCAATTCTCCGAAATTAAATTATAGATACTAAAAATCGTACGTATTTAAGCGTAGATCATTTCAATGTGTTAATGTTTCTCTTATTTGCAAACAATTGTGCATGCAATAATCAACTCTTTGCTACGTAGAAAGCGTGTTTTGAGTTTACGATAATAGACAATTTCAGATTGCTTAAGGATTCTATTGTCTTTGCGCTTTATTCGGCATTATGTTTTAGTATATAATTTCTTTTTCGTGTATACATATGAAACTCTTAATTTTTAATATTCGGCTAATTTAATTTTATCCTTGCTATAACTTTTTTTAGTAGATGGAAATACATACAAAAGAAGTTGAAATCATTGTTTAAATCTTCCTTAATTTATTTTAGTAGTTCGTCAGAATGTTTTACTTTTCAATAACTTTTTTCATTTCCTATGCTTTTCTACTGAAAAGAAACAATTCATGATTTAATATCCAATTATTAGAAAGTTATTGGTTCTGTTGAGAACTTACTTTCATTGAAATTATTTCAATGAAAGTGTAAGCAATTTCTAGATCTTTGATAAAATCGACGCATATTCGTATCTTGTTCCTACTTATTCTGAGTTGCGCACATCCTACACATGTGCGAAGTATTTAACCGGTTGACATCCGGCGGAAATTAGAGTTCCTGAGTGTAACTTGCACTAACAAGGGAGCACTTCGAAGTGACATCTACCAATTTTTATGAAATGATTATAGAAAGTAGTTTTCACAAGAATATTTCACACTTATTTCTTTTTATTGTGCATTTTTTATACTGGAGGTGTAAGATAGTCCTCGAAGTTCAGAACAAGAAACATGTTTCTTTCAATATCTTACAAAGTACTGAAGGTATACTAAAATATGAATAATAATATAATCTGTTATACAACTTTGTAAATTGTTATATTTATATAATTCTAATTTATTATATGGATATTATCTAAAACACAATAAAATACAATATATAAAATTTTATAATCTATAAATAATTTTCATATTCCACAATATAATTACCTAAAATATCATGGAAATTTACTCTAATCTCATTTTATATTTTATATTCAACGACACATCTCCGTTTTTTACATTTAACTCAAAAATATTCTCTTTTAAAACGTTCTCTATATTATTTCAGTACAAAAAGGTTTTACATTAATATATACTATACAAATAATATTCACAATACAATTATAAACATCAACGCACAAGCGACAGAAGAATGATTACCCATTATAGCTTATTTAGTTTACAACACGTTAACACACTGCAACAGCGAGTCACTTAAAATTGTGCCTGCATAATTGCATTTGCTATTATATGAATAACGTAAATTCGCTTGATTAAATTCCTTTCTTAACAACATTCACATTCAAAAGAATTCCCTTTAATTTCTAAACCAGAAAGTCTCCTTAAGATAGGAAACAGATGGCTGGCATTTATCGCGCGACATCTCGTTTGAGAAAGAAAGTAACTAAGGCACAAATGAAAGAAACTGGATTGGAATTGGAACGAGTTCGAAGTTACTGATCATCGGTGGGCGGGCGACGTAAATAAATTTAACGAAGTTCTTCGTTAATTCGCTTGCCCTTAACAAGAAACCCGCAGCTATGTCGATGTATCTGACATAACAATCTGAGAAGCAATTCGATGTTGCATGGAAAGCAGCGGCTTGAAGCGAATTCCGTTAAAGCTCATCCATTTCCTGTTCTTTTGCAGATGCGTGGCTGGAATGGCAGAAAAGTTGTGCGAGGCTGCCGCACGTGGCGACGTCGCGCGAGTCGCGCGTCTCCTTGACGAAGATATTAAACCGTTGCCGGATGAGGTGAGTCCATTTCCGCTTATTTATTTCTTTCAGGTGTGCGTCTACCTCTTAATATGTTAACACGTTGACTGCCACGTCGGTCATCGATGACCGAAGCTTTCAAATTACTTGAACGCAATTATAATTTGTCAGATAATTGATGTCGAACGAACATGTTCAATGCAATGAACAGTGAGTGAAATGAGGTCCTCTCGATTTACGTCGTTTTTCAGTTACGTCGCCTCTACGTCGCGCGGTAATCAATTGTTTTTAATCAATATTTCTCACACTACGTGTTTAGTTCTACCTGAATCAGTCTGAAACTTACTTGAATAAAGAATTCGTCGTGCAACAGATTAATTTTATAACGTTTTTATGGGTTAGGTTTTGCTTAGGTTAGATTTTGGTTAACTTTGTAATTTATCTATAATTTGTCTTTAACTTCAGATTATACAGTTCGTACACTATTTAACACGTTCGCTACCAGCGTCACGTATTTGCGACGGCCGTAATCTTATATTTTACGTAATGAAAATCAAATTAATCCTATAGATATTGTTATTAGAAATTATTAACTACGACATTATATTTAGGAACTCAATGACTAGTTTCAGTTCCATTTTTCTAATATTTCGTTTAGAAGATTTATTGGATTGAAGAAAATATGATTGAGGAGACCGTCACCGAAATAACCGCTGGTAGCGAACGTGTTAAGAAGTATCGTATTAATCGAGAATTAAGACCATTATTTACGTACAAAGGCACCCACAGCGTCAGATGTCCTCATCCTTAAATTATATTGTTAAAAAATGAAGTACTATATGTTAACACTATAAGCTTTTTCATTCAACACTGTTAGTAGAAAATCAGATTGTCAGAAATTTAAAAAATAATGGCATCTAGTCGTATCATCCGTCTTTGCCATGGAGATCAGTGATTTCAGAAAATTCATATGCTTAACGGATCTCCAAAGAATGATATCGTAAGAATACTCAGAAGTCCAAAATCGCTTCTTCAAATGTATATCTTCAGTGTATAACTGTGTTACGTAGATAGGGTACTTTGTTAGAACAAATTAAAGAGTGTGTTAACCTTTCACGCAATATGATATTCGTTATAAGTGATTAACACGTCGACTAGCAAACCAGCGTCCATAAAAATTCCACAAGATTGAAGTAATTTATCGCAGCGATGAATCTTCCCATCTCTGTCTGCATCTCACAGAGGCAAAAGAAATTTGTTTCTCTTAATTGAACAGCACAAAAAATGAATTTTCACGTTCTAACGAAATATTGTGTCGCTTGTCTAACGATTAACACAATCGATCGATGCATTAATCCTTTGCGCTCTTATGTCGAGCATGATTCGCATCAGGTGTGCTTCTTTGCCAAGATATTTTTAAAACAGATTATATTATTGTTATTTTCAATATTATTAGTAAGAAGAATCGTTTATACTACTCTCTACAAACTATCTATTTTTTAAAATGCATTTCAAATAAAATATCGTAATAATACAAAAAAAATACAAAAGAAATTCGGAGTGCAAAAGGGTTAACCTTTTCGTTCCGAATAGTACACATAGGTACCGCGAACATTTTAAATGATCGGAAAGCTAGAACACGCCTGAATAAGGAAAAATTGTACCACGTGGAGATCATTGCTTACGGCTGACAGCTTAAGTACTAACTATTATTATTATTATTAGTACTAATCTTATTCAGCGACGAAAGAGTTAAATCGATCGAAATAATAGTGATCGGATAAATTATAAAGTACCCTGAGAAGAGAAATCTCTGACGAAGTGCTCTGAAGAGTTATAATTCGAGATGAACTGATCTTTTCATTTAAGTACACGAGAATACGTCGACACGTTAATGAAAAACGAGGAAGTGCGAGCGTTACGGCAAAATTCGCGACGGATTTACCGTGAAATGATCGTCGCTCGTTTGAATTTTAATTATGGTCGATGAAGTCGTAGATTGATCGAACCAACGGTCTCGCAAAACGGATACGATACTGGACCGGGGAATGTTGTATATTAATTACGTTATGTATTTACATCATCGCTGTGACGGTCGCCGTCGGTGGGAATGCAGATAAGCGTGTTCCGGGCGCATTTGTCAAAATGTTACTCGTGTGCTGGTTGCTAAGCAATCTGTCCGATTATCCATGCGGCCATTACAATTATTTTCTCCTTAATTGCGCCGATGAAATTAATCGTCGTATGAGTTTTTCTTCGCCGCTGGCGACCCTCGGACTGAAATGCTTTATCGCGCTCAACTGGCGAAGCTACTCCCGTGATATATTGATAACGAGTAACCGGAATGTTTCGGATAATGGAACAAGCTTGGGCATTCTTCTAGTTGCGTCGAATGAAATTGTTATATTTCGGGTTATAGTATCGTATGCTGAACGAATTCTTGTTTGTTGTTCGTTTCGTCTGGATAATTGTTATTACCAATGAATTACTGTACCTATATATTGAAATAATTTATTCGATTAAGTAAATCATTCGAATTACAACGGGAATGACGTTGATTGAATTTCTACTGTAACACTGCGAAATTCCAATAGAAGATACTTCCAATAAAATCTTTTAAACGAAATATTGAAATAATGAAACTGAAACAGGTCATTGAGTTTCTAAATATAATGTCGTGGCTTATAACCTTAAATAACAATATCTATAGGGTTCATTCCATTTTCTTATGTAAAATATGGGATTGTGATCGTCAGAAACATATGACGTTGGTAGCGAACGTGTAAACACATTGTTGACCGGTAATTTTACGCGGAGCTAACCCATGTCATCAGTTACTATTCCGTAATTAAATATGAAACAACCTAAATAAACTTCAATACACTTTATTTATACATAGTGAACTGAAATGAAACTTTGGGCGTATTTTTTATATATCTTTGAATATTTTGCGTTTGCAATATTCTATATTGTTCTGCGTATCAAAAATTGAAATAAACAAGCAAATTTGATTCATTGAAGTAAACGCGAGTTAACTCGTGACCGGTGAACAACATGTTGAAAACTTGTGTCACTCGCGTGACATGATAGTGAAAGTGTTAAACAATGAAATCGTCTTAATTTACCGTTGGATTAAGAGTTACAGCATCAACGATAAGATATTGCCTGTACATCAAAATGTAGTTAAGTGTTTCCAGTGGAAGCGTTCGGCTCTATGAAATTATAAGGCTGGTTTCAGCGGAATTTATGTTTTCTGTTTGTCCCTTTTTTTCTAAGCGTGATTTATCCTCGCAAATATTTATTATTTGATGTATTGCATTTCCTGTAACGAAAGTGCACGGGTACGGTGCAGGTACATACGCGGTACTTCTTCATTAACACGCGAGCCGGCTCGCTCTATTACGTCAGGCAACGAAGCACAGCCTTGCAGGAAATCCGGGCATAGGTTGCTAGAGCGTCGAAATGATGTATGCTGTGATTTGTTAGATTTGCGTAACATATGTTCTTAGGCGCTGCGTAGAAAAATCGGAGTGTTGCGCTCGCATGTTTGTTTCGAAGTAATTCCTCTTACTACTGGAAGCGTTATTCTCTCGGGCTATGGACACTCAAAGCAACGGTGATTAAGACTAAGTGCACTGGCACTTTGTACGTACCAGTTCTTACCGTAACCGGTCAAATCATTGGTTATAAAATAAACGTAAACAAGTTAGACGGCACATGTTTGTTAGTGGAAATAAAGGGAAAGATGAAAATTGGATAATTGTTTAATCCGACTGTATAGGAATTCACGTACGGTTAAACGAACGAAAGAAAACACAGATTTTTAAATCATATTTCGAAACTGGTCGAGGTTCGTTTAGTGTTCATCAGTTACCTACAGTAATAACGCAGTAATTTTCGTAAATGCTTGAAATTCGCAATCCGTCCAAAGATCTTATTTTTCTTTTTACTACGAAATATTTAAAAAATTTATTTTAACAAGTTTTGATTCCATGTAGAACCATGTCAATTACATATTAATGGATTAAACTGTATAAATTCCTAATTGATTGGAAATGTGTAAGCTGATCGAAATGAAATAAGAATGTTTAATACTGTAAATAATTGATAGATAAGTATAGTATCGCGCGGATAATTTATAATTGTTTTTATTTATCTTTGCTGTGAAAGGATAGGAGATATAAAGTGATTTATTCATGTGAAAGGTGAATGTACACATACTTCTCCATATATTATCGAAGAATGTAATTAGCACTATTTTTACTGCTCTTCTATATATAACTATAATATACAATATACCAAAAGGTACTTTAATAAAATCTATTTGATGAAATCTAAAATTTAATATTGAATACAATTAGAGACAAAAAAATCAGTCTCCAACAATTCCTTTCATTCACTTTGCATAAATGGTACCACAGGAAGAAAATATTTATTCGCACTTTCTAGATTCTGGCAGAGTAATGAAATTGTCAATTATTGTTAATATTTACGATTCTTGTAGAAGTGTAAATAATAATATGTAGTCTGATGATTTATGTTCTCCGGTACAATTACAGGATTTCGAGTTGAAACTGTCGTCTTTCTTGTCACGGTCGGTAAACTGTTTTCAAGCGTTTTCCTGTCGTGCTTATTAGTATTCCGCATACAAATGCAGGGTGGCGGTGGGGATCAGTCTCAAAAACAAAAGGACGTCCGGGTGCAGATTAGGATTCAAGGATGGTCCTACGGTTGCGTCGTACGCGGACAGGCATCAACCCGTGTCGCTCGAACCACTGTTCGACTAATTAAGGCCGCGTTCAGTCTGATCGCAGCAGCTAATTCGACACGGGGAATAGCGGCGAACTATTAATTACACCGCTAATTGAGTCGCCGATAAATCGCGGAGAATTGATACGCTAGAGCATTTTCGAAAGAGCTTTTCGCAGTTCTACAATTTTCGTATAAAATACGAATACAAGTTCTATTTTATTCATTTGATAGATTTTTATATAGATTTATACGTATATCGATGATATACTATCAAATATAATTAATCGGAAATTAATTTTTCTTGTTAAGCTGTAGGCTTTATTTGCGTATGTTATACACTAACTGATTAATTATAATAAAATAAGAACCATAATGAGGGGTGTAACTTTAGAATGATAGTCCTGGGGTTTTTGTTTAACGTGAGAATAACAATGAATCTTATTTTTAGTACCAAACTATTTTTAACTGATATATGTGCCAAATCTTCAGTTATTTTAAATAATAATGTCAAATAATAATTTTTTTATGTATGATAAGTATATAATATACATGTTTATAAATGTGTGAAGCACATAATGTTACAATAGTATTTTTATAATTTATACAAAAGAAATATCATAGATATTCGTATAACAAGAATTTATTCAGTTTTGTTTAAAATTGTTCCACTTAACTTCAACTTATGTTTCTTACTCATCTTAATCTTATTGTTACTTTTTACTTTTTATTCTTTATAAGAATGAAACAAAACAGTGAGACCATATCAGAATATTAATTAATTTTAAAATAGCCAGTTGTCGTTATTTTAATCTTTTAGCTGTGATGCTCTTTTTAAAAGTGTGTAATCTAGGTAAATGCACATGTAACATTGTGTCACTAGAAGGAAGTGACGATGATTATATTCGTCAAACACAGAACATGTGCACCCGCTGTAAAATTGAATTCAATTATAATTAAATAACTCTACTTTTCCCTTAAATTAATAATGAACTTATTAAAAAAAAATTTACCATTTCTTTAAAACGAGTTTACTCGTCATTCACAACTAACGGGTTGAAAATCTTATTTTGTTGATTTTAATTATGTTCACCGAATGCATCTATTTTTTTACAGAATGGCCGTACTCCTCTTCTGCTGGCAGCAGCAGGCGGTCATGTGAACGTCTGCGAGGCGTTGCTTCAGCGAGAGATCGATGTGAATGCTGCCGACAATGTGAGTAATGTTCACGAACTTCCTTGTCTTCTTCTCGTTTTATTACTTCTCGATCGGAATGATTTAGCCACGAATCTCATGCATCACAGAAATATCATTCACACGATCGTCATTAGAGAAATCATAGGAACCTTTGAAATTTTAGACTCGTGGTGAAGATTTTGAAGAAAATTTAACAGACATAAACATTACTCAATTTTCGTGAATTCAAATGAAATATTATCCTTCTGTTATCAATTATGTTTTAGAGCAACCATAGATATAGAGTATGCCTAGAATCTTTTTTCAATAAATTATGAATCACGAAGTAAGTGTATCGACTATAGGCGAGAAATATATCGTGAGTGAAAGGGCTAATATTATGTCGTAAAACATAAAATATTATTCCAAGTTCGAGTCTAATAATATATTAATAAAACAGAAGGAAGAGATAACCAAGTAGTCATAGAATTTATCTTTCGTAGTATTTTAATAAGATAGGTTCAGTATAAAATGAAGTGGTTTTATTTCGGACCAGTTTTCCTCTGTAAAGGATTAATTTCTTTTAATTACACATGACACGATTTGACAGAGAAATGACTTATGAAATTTTCGTTTTGCGCGTAGCCGTAAAATACGATTGTTAAGCCGCAGCTAACGGTTCCAGAAGCACGGACACTAAATTCTGAAGTGGCGAACAACTCGGACTTGGCTAATAATTCACAAGCCTGGGTGGGTTGTTCCGCATGTCAGTTGCGCAATATATCAAGTACGAATACACCGGCTAATGAACGGTCCAAGGATAATTACTGTATAATTATGGGTTTACGTAGTTGACGAAGGGTGTTCCTCTCGATGCAGTTTTATTCGATAGCTGCATCTGAAATACGCAGATGAAAAAGAGTCCCGCAAGGTATCGATTTGCGAAACGTCGGTACATCAACCAGATTATTAATCATATCGATCACTCGTGACTTGATTCCACGAAGAATTACTGATTTTCAAATAAGATAGAGTATGGGGGGATTTAGTATCGAGCCCTAGATACATGATTTTTAATTAGAAAAAAGTCAGGGATTCTTTTTGTAATTTACTCATTTTATGTAATTTAGATAACATGCAATTCCTTGGCTTCCTCATTGCATAACTATAAGGTATGGCATGGTGGTATGCGTTTACGCATAATTAAACGACTATAGATAGCATACATTTACATCATTATTGAATACACCGTATTCCAGTCGGTGAAAAGTTTAGCAATGTCTTTCAGTCGCGATACAATTATATATGTTGTAATTCTGATCATAACTTAATAATAAATTATAGATGTAATTTCATTATTAATGATCATTTTTCTTTTCCTTCTCAATGTTTAAATTCTATTGCATATTATTACTATTATATTCTTTGTTTTTGAAATTAAATACATAATTACAACATTTCAGCAGAAAATACATTTAATTTTAGCTTAATGCTAAAGTCCATCGGACGAACGCTTGTTTCATTTTCGTATAATTTTCACTTTATCTTCTATCTGTATCAATTTCAACGAAATAAATTGCACTCAAACGGAGATTAAAGTCATCTTTATCTATTGTAACAAAAATTCGGCCCTGAAGACGTTAAGGAAAGGTTATACCACATTACCCAGGGAAGAGGAGGCTCCACGTGTATCTGATACCGTAACGAGCGAAGACAATGATTCATTGGAAACATCGAAAAGGCGATCGGGATCATCTTTGTTATCGCGTAAGGAGATCCGGCTAGGGCCCCTAGTCTTCCTGGGGCACAATGCATCCATTGCCGTGGTGACTGACGGCCAATCTTCCCTTTTCCCCTCTCCCAGCCAGCACGTTCGGTTACAGAACACGTTTGGCTAGATCTTGCCAGCAAGGGGTACACCGAGGTGGCTGTATTTAGACTCGGTCTACGGCGCCGCTGGGCGGCTAGGGGATATTCGTACTAAATTCTCGTGGATATCTTCTTGCCAAGCCGCATACCACGACAGAAATCGTGTCTTCCTGTCCGTCCTGGCTTTTTTTTAACCCCTTGCCTTACAATAACGCGTCAGATACGTGGTGCAGATTTCAAACAGAATTGAACTAGCATGAACGTTTGCTCGATCCTTTTCAATTCAAATTAAATATTCTTCTTCTGTTATCAATTATTACACTTTGGAGCAAATATTGATATAGTATATGCTTATAATTTTGTTTTTTTCCTTAATAAATCATTAATGACAAAGTAATTGTATCGATCGTAGTGGAGTGAAGTAAACCGTAGAGCAAGGGGTTAACACTGAAACTACCAAGCAGTTAGAATGATTTATCTCTGATTTCTTGTGAAAATGAGAACAATAGGTTTTTTGATTCGGTGGGTGTCTTAATCTTGTATCTGTACGGATTCACAGATTTAATTTGAAATTTTTCGCAAAAACGTCTTCATAATCCAAATATTTACAGAATAAAAATTCTCAAGTGGGTCAGTATGACCCGTCCGGTAGTTTTCGTGATCATCTTTTTCATTGCCGCTGATTAATCGAGCATTTTGAGAGAACGGCAAGCAAAGGAAACCGATAACGTTGGCGGGTTGCGCTAGCTTTCTTGGTATGCTCGCTGAACGTAAAAATAAGTCAACGGTTACGAGCCTCACGGGCTTCGGTCGGGAAGAAGTTTATAATAAGGGGAACTTCCTTTGAGGAGAGATGGTAATAAGCTGGATATTTTGTTTCGCCGAGAATGCTAATTGTAATTGAGCCACATGCGGGGGTCAGCGTGGGGTTAATTTTATTTGGAAAGGGAGAGATAGGTGGGAAGATTGCGCACCGTGTTTTATAACGCGCGCTGTAATGAAGGGACGGAAGGTTCTCCGTGGAAAAGTCGAATGAAGTATGTGGAATAACGTATTTTTCATCTGGAACTTCGTTAGTTAGGGAATACAGTTCAACTTCGCTTCGAAATTGTAATCTTATTTTGATGAATTCTGTGTTTAATAATACTTGTTAAGCGCAGACATTTACTCAGTGCCCTTCCATTTAATTAATTGCAAGTTTATTTGAAATGAAAACATTTAAAACGTGAATTTAAGAATTCATTTTTGCTTGATACTAGATGGAACGAAGTTGTCGAATGTAATGGCGAATACTTTCAGAATTGAAGGTTGTGCGATTTGTTTGGGAATTTATTTTCAAAATATACAATTCCACATGTAACTTTACCCTGAAACAAAGTTTTGACCTGAAACTCTGAGTACCCTGAGACAGTTGATCCTTATTTCAGTTAACTGAAAAAAACATGAGATTAATAAATAACATCGTTGTTATTCATCTCAATACGAGTAATCTGAAAACAGAATTCAATACACCATTCCATTAGGAAAAACATGATAATTTCGATTTGCTTCCATATCAAATAATTAATTTCCTGTTTCATTGAATAATACAATAAGAGAAAGAATGAAATCGAAGCTCGTCGTTGTTCCACAGGAAATAATTCTCGATACTTTCTTTGGATCGCCCTATCTGATACTTGTTCGCCAAAGGACAATTGAGCCACTCATTGAACAAATCGATTAACTCCACAAAACTAAAAGTAGAGAAAAGTAATGTACATGGATTTTCAAAATTTCCCTTCAAATGTAAAATCAAAATTTCCCTTCAAAACTAATTTATTTCGCTGAATTATTCGTTATACTACGGTTCTAGGGTAACGTGCGCATTTTAGTTCGAAAGGTCAATCGATTTCATGATCCGCACAACACAATTCCTGGCTTCGACAGTTTTTCGTTACCGGGAATACACAGTATCAGCTTATGGAGACCGGGATAAGCGTTCCTTTTGTCTGCATAAGGCAGTCCGGCGAAGTGCAATGGCACACGGTACGTGGCCTCTGGTATCTGCAAATGAAAGTTCGATATTTATTGGTGAACGACGAAGAAATGCGCAAGCGGCCCCTGTCTATGCCCTTTCCAATACGCTTCCACGTGCGCTGCCGGGATTATGGAAACTCGCGGGACATTATGCCGCGCTTTCACGGAACCTCCGCTGTTTTTTCGTCTTTTAAAAGATGACGCGCGAACTGGTCGGTCTCCGGTAAATTAGCACCCGACGAGTTTAACGTGTTCACCGCTGCTTTAGGCGTGTACGGGTGACACAATTCTTTACCTAGATTTAACCAGTTAATTGCGTTCGACGAGTATACACGTCATCTTAAAGCTTGAATGCTACTAATTCTTTCAACGATGAATTCTTTATTTTTGCAAAAAAACCTGTAATTATTTTTGGTTTTCTTTCAGTTTTCGTTAAAATATACCCTAGCTGCATTCGTCCTGCGTTTGATGAGTACACGTTTCATTGTTTGATTTTATTGCGTGCATAATGAAAGATTTTTGAAACTAAATTACACCGTTAACGGGTTAAGAGTTCCTTTTTATGGTACTGTAACGAGCGAATTAATTTTTATGGAGATTCTTTCATTTTTATGATTTAAGGAGTTTCGTTGGAATGATAAGAATAATTATAAAAAATGTTGAGTTTCTAGCTTTTGTTCTTTATTCGAATAAATGCTTCGCCTTTATGTTTTCATGGATGCGAACTAGGTAGTGTGTTTATTTTAAGGAGATTGTTAGAATCGCATAAATATTCTGTTTTATGGAGAATTTGGCTTTGAGTCTATTACAAATTGAATTTTGGAGAATTCTTTAAGAAATGAAGTAAAAGATACACGTCACCTGGAAACGCAAAATAATACTAACTTCTTCAACTATTAATTATTTATTTTTTCGGATAAACGTGTAATTCATTTTCATTTTGATTCGGTATTTTATTTAATATATCTTAGACATTCGCTTTGCGTTTCACGCGTATACTCGGCATGCGTTGATTTTATTACACATCCTACGAGAGATTGTCAAATTGCAATGAATTTACGTAACGTGACGCAGTAACGTTAAAGATCTGCAAAGTTTCACCGTTACTGTTAACTGTTAGAGATGTTCCTTAAAAATGAAGTCATAACTTTTCA